ATGTGCCGTGCGCTATTGTCAACGTTTTAACGAAGCAAGCGCCAATGGCTGAAATGATTTGACCCGTCAGTTTCCTGCTACTCACTATATTTCCTCATTTGCCTGGAAAGTGGAGCACGAAAAGTGGCGCCGCTGCCAATGGCATGGAATCGGTTGCTCGACGGTTTTTAAGCTAAGCAAGACTTTCAGCCCTGTGTTGGTTACTGGTAGCGAACCCGTCTGGGAGGAAAAAGACATATTTTGCTCAAGGATAGGCCAAAAGTCATTGTAAAGGCCAAATCGCATCCAATTACCACTTCCTATTGATCAAATGGTCCACCAGTACTGTCGCGGCTTGAAAGTGGGCGAAAAGGGAGCTGATACCTTCGTTTACCGCTGCAGCTGCTGCCACGCTTCAATCGCAGCATGCGTAGCGCGCCCTCTTGTGTACAACGTGCTCTCTCGCGTTTTCCCTCTCCTCGCAGCGCGGTGTCTCTTCGCCGTACCACTTAGATCTCACCAGGGAAGTTGCGTTTTCTATGGTGCTTTTCTGCTTTTACACCTACTGCTACTCTCCTTCGCATTTCCTTTCTGATCTTCGAGCAAAACAACACCCAAATTCGGTCCTACCGGATTCCTAAAAGGATTGGGGACAAAATTCGTCACCAAAATTGGCAGTTCTCCTTTTCAATCTGGGCTAACACTCAAAACTTTTATTTATTACTTTAACACGTAAGCGATAATGTATAAGATCAACACAAAGGGCAAAATAGTATGGAACAATGGCCGGAGCTGGAGCACTACAATTTATCTACAGCACAGCTAGCTCCCGCTCGCGTCCATTAGCTCCACACGCTTGGCATACATGCATGACCAGACTCGTGATTTTCATGGTACCGTAATGGCACTACAGTACACCTAAGGAGCATTATATCGTTACAACACCAATCAGATCAGAGAAATAAAAATGAAGAGAAAAAAATCCCGTGACGTGATTTTAACACAACGAAGTAACCGGTAAAGAGCAATTTTGACTATCGAGTTCCATCTGATTCACCCATTAACCAAGAGAAATATGCACAAGGTAAGAGAATCGTCTCCATTTCGGCTCATCGATGTTCACTTGGATTCCTCTGAACCTGACGATCGGTTCCTACGTGGGAAACATTTTCGGGCCAACATCTCTATTTCCTTGCGTTGTTCAGCATTCCTTAACAAATAAAATCAATAGGAATCAATAGGATTCGAAAAATTTCAGCAGGAAGAGAGGGGCTTCCAGCTCCTCAATATGAATATTTGGTCCTAATCGTGGTACCGCATTCTTTCGAACAGCAACTCAGATGAGTCGTGTCGGGAAAATCTATGCGGGGACAGAGTAGCTCACGAATATCACAAATGTGCCGATGTCGCGGTGTCAGTATCCCTTGGGCCTTACAAAGTGATACGATAGGACTATCGTGAACTTACGGACGAGATACCTCGCACACCCCGCGATACGCAGCGTGGATTACGACGTAGCGGCTAATTCAAATACGCGCGGGTTAGTGGAGCCATGGAGCAAGCAAGTTCAGACAACTCGTCCGGACACGCCCCTTCCTCACTCTAAGGAGGAAGAGGGAGTACTCGTTAATGATTCGATCGGCGATTTGCTTTGGATCTTTTTTTCATTTTTAGCCAGATCGGCATTTGCAATTTCATTATCGACCGTTGTTACCCCACCAACCTGATCTAGGGTTGTTGCTCTGAAGATTTCCTGAGATATCTTCGTGAATGGTTGAAAAGATGCCTTATCGTTTGAGTAGGCGATATGGGCCCCAGGTCATTATAAAGGGCGATATTGGGCCCCAAACGTTTCCAACTCATCTTCTGTCAACTCAGCCTCAGAAACTGACGTCAGAATGCGTGATGCCTGCACCTCGATCGTCCCTTCATCTGCCCACTATTTCCAGCGTCATCGTCCAGTGTTTCTTCGTCGGTAAACATTTCATGCCCAAAATTTTGCAGAGAAAGAGGTCGAGCGGGAAGGGGGTGGGGGGAGTGGAAGTGGAGGGAAGAAGGTACAGAAGTCTTGAAAAAATACCAAGTGCTCCAATTCTCTCTTACTCACGCTTATGAACCCCCCCCCCCTCAAAACGGTGCCTTCTCCTACGACCATTCTCAACTTCCAAAAGCAATCCTCGTTAGTCATTGCAAGAGGTTTGTTAACTCTGGTCACCTCGAAGTAGTCTTACCCTAACCGTAAAATAAGACCCCGTGCGCATTTTTCGACGAGCAGGGTTAACCTTGGTAACCATAAACACTACCCTGGTCACCATCAAGTACAACTCCTTCCTAAATCCAAATACCCCGTGCGCATTCCCGACGGTCGTTAACTTTGGTAACCCTAAACACTACACTGGTCACCCCAAGTACGACTCCTTCGTAAACCCAGAAATGCAGCCCCCGTGCGCATTTTTCGACGAGATCGTTGACCTCGGTAACCCTAAATACTACCCTTAGAATTCTGTTCAAGTAATCGGGGTATGGACCTCTCCAAACCTATCCATTCTTCATCAACTACTGTCACACTTACATTGCCGACTCCACCTTTGCTCCGGAATCTCCTGCATGGCATTTCTCAACATGTATCGAGGCACGGTTCATACGATCGAAACCTTGGCCACAAAGCGTGCATCTGAGCCTAAAATGAATAAGAATTCAATCTGGTGAAGGTATCAAAGCGAGTGTTCTTTGAACGAGTTCAAATTATGTCCATCCGCCAGCTCGACTGACGCATCGCGACCGCACGCGTCTCATTCGTTCCTACCATTTAAGCCTACCAATGCAAAACAAACCTTCTAATAGTGAGATGCGTCGCCACATGTGCTCGTAACATTCTTCGCCGTTATCCAATGACCGCATAGCTGAAAACCAAATAATAAACAATGCGCAAGTTCGATTCAGAGGCTTCAAATCGAACCATAGTCCACCTGACACTGTTTCGGAGCACTGCCAGCACCCTTCTCACGAACCATTGACATCTCGTTGTCAGTGAAATTTTTCGTTCTCTCCTGATATGACGAGAAGTTAGCGGAGACCTGCTGCAAAAGTTCTGAACCACAGGCAACAAGATCCGTCTCGTCCATCTCGTCATTCATTGGCGTTTCCGCCTAAATTGTTAGTGTAATGTGGATCGATCAAGTACGATAGCTTTTGTTGCATTCATGTAATGAAAGATAAAAGGATAAAGCATTTGCCGTTGATCAATCCCTTTTGGGATGCGGCACGCATTCTACTTCCATTTGTACATTCGTAGTGGCGTTTGAATGCGATGTGGCCTATACAATGACTTGCGGGGCCAGCCGATGTACAAGTCAGTGGACAAGTCTGGTACCAATTAACCGACCCCGGAGGGATGGAAGGCTTGGTTGGCCCGGGCGACTCACGACCCAGGATTTGATCCCCGGACCGCTCGCGTGCCACTTGCCGCTACACCACTCGCCCCGTGGTACGGAACCAATGAATAGATTCCCGGCAACGATGCTAAGGCCTTGCAATTTATGCTGCCGTGCTGCCTGCCACCCTTACCAACCACGACACTGTCTCACTTTTCCCTCTCCTCGCAGCGCTGTGTCTCTCCGTCGTACTACGGCCGGCCTCCTAAGGGAAATTTAGTGTTTTCTATGGTGCTTTTTGCTTTTTCTCCTCACTAGTGTTCCTCATTGCACTCCTTGCCTAATTTTCAAACAAAATAACGCACCAATTCGATCCCTACTCCCTTCAGTGGGATGGCGCTCGATCAAAGCACTCACATCTCGGAATTGCGCCGAATAGTCTTCAATTTTGATCTTTTCATTGACGTCACTGTCGACACTCTCCGATCGAGGATACGCTTCCACTTGCTCCAGTGAGACGGACGACGGGGTTGATGTGGGAACCAGCGGGTTGACAGAGGTGGACGTTGGCAGTTGTAGCGAATCGTCTTTTGGCACTGCATGTGTCACAAAGGCTTCGACGATCCTTCGAGACGGTGAACTTGATACTTTTCTCAAGCTAAAAAGAAATAATTCAATTAACCATTCAGTCTAAAAAATCGTTCAATAAATATGTTTTCATGACCATGCACCAACCAGGCAGTTCATAATCTCCGGAAGGCCTGTGATGGACTCCAGCTCGACGCAGATATAAACGGCCATGGCGGGTGACCTGAACTCACTCAGACGGTTGTGTGAGAAAGTTTTTTTCTGTGCTACCCCCCAAGACTAAGCCGAAAATGACGTTGTCATCTATCTCTTTAAGCAAGCCGTGTGTGGAAATCGGTTGGTGGCGCTCAGTTCAAGCGATACCCAGCGCTTGTCCCAGCACGATACCCAACATGGCGTAAGCGTTAACCATTGTCTCGCCTGAGCAGACTCGACATTCCTGAATGCTGACATGTCGATTTTGGGAAAGAATAGCTCCTGAATGCCTGAAGAACGTGAGATTTCAGACCAAAATTTCGGTTGTATATGAATTTACATGTGTATTGATTGAGCACTTCTCGCATGTTCACGCGCGTAATTGAGGGAGAAGAAAGAGTCGTACACATGTGAGCACAACAGATTTCACAGTGACGACTATCGTTTCGTGGCCATAAGAGATTCGATGAGGCTTGGATAGACTGTATGCTGTAAATTTGTTCACCGGGACACATAGCAAATTTTAAAATCTAATTGTAGACCTTGTCAAAGGCGCTACGAGCTGTGTCCATCTCAATCCAAACAGACACTTCAACCCACCACCCTTCCTTGATTACGGTTATCACGGCACTTGCTGCTGGACTTAAAGGCAGTGGTCACGATGGGTGGAGGGCGGTGCGATTCGATGACGTCATGGATTGCCAGTGGTGGACTAGACCCTCAGCGCGTAGGAAGCGTGGGCAGAAGTGATGTTATGGCAAGTGGCGCCAATCGCCACGAGCACGGCTTGGGGGACAAATCCTGGCTCGAATTGCACCAGGCCACCGAGCATTCCATCCCTTCAGGATTGGTACCAACGAAGTTGCATACCAGTGTCATTACGATTCTGGACGGATGGAGAATGCGTGGGCTTCATCTAAAGGGATTGATTGACGCAAAATGCTTCATCATTTCGTCTTTATTAATCGGGCAAAAGCGTAGAATGGGCCAGTGCCACCGCTACCACGCTTATTGTCTGGGACTAAATACTGATTTGAATTCCGCACATGCTCAAGAATAGTGCCATCTGGAACCAGTGGCAGAGCGCGTAGTCCTATTATTGGTAAAACGCGCTGGGATGTGGTCAAGCCTTCAACGCCCTTTCACAAGTGAAACTCAGTGAATTCATTGAAACCCCCCTTGCCTCTCAACAACCACACCTGCCTGCTGCCCTTGATCGAAGTCTACTCGCTTGTTAGGGTAACTACGCTACGTTTACATCGGCAAGCTCCTGTAAATCAGTTGGTAGGTTGAATATGCAGAATAATATCAGAATGTAGCCGAAAGCCAGCACGATTCTAAATTGCTGTTGACGCAGGCACTCTCAAGAAGGGTTCCATCAAGCTTCTATCCTACTCCATGGTGAAGGTAGGATGGAGCGTGGGCGTATTCCACCTTTGGTTAGACTTTCGTGAAAAGCAGGCTGTTTACGTAGCGGGCACGGCTTGGTCTATACGCTGTGCGAGCTTCGATAAGTTTAGGCCAATAGCCGAAAGAAATGAGGTGATAGTTAGGAACTCTCTCCCCCATAAGACGGTACCATTAATCAACAATAGTGAATCCAACATTCAAAAAAAAAGTTCAAGAAGTGAAAAAAAAACTTTCCTAAAGAGGAAAGCATTTGAGACTCGACCATAAGTGACTGGTGACGAAAAGTAGGGATGTGAATTTGAGAACGCAAAATCCAAGGTGAAGTTCTTATAGAATTATTTCCTGCCCGAGAAGATCCAAGGTGTCAAAAGCGACAAGCCCTGGCGCTTCTTGCTGCCGCCCAAAGTGGTCCACTTCACTCCACATTACGCTGTTCTTGTCCGCATCCCCGTACCCCTTATCCCCTACGTTTCCTCTCCAAGGGATATAGGCATCACAATCATGTTAGGTTTGGCTTGTGAGTAATGGGAAGGTGTGTGGAGGGGGTCGGGGGATATTTGGGGATGGAGGATCTCAAAAACGTTTCCTGTCTTCAGCAGCAGCTGCTTCCAGAACAGGAAAGAGTTCGCTCGATAAATGTGGGAGCTATCGCAATATACGGGGGCATTGTGGTGGCACCCGCATTCAGAACCGCGTAAAACGTGTATTTTTTGTTGAAAACGGGACTAAGCCTCAGGCGGGGGTGGAGGGACTCCAAGGTGCGTTAGCCATTTTCATTTTCCGTGGATCTCCTGCCCCTCCTAGGCTTAGTCCTGAAGGATGCCCCCGTATATTGCAGTAGCACCTAAATCTGTGTTAATGATTTTTCAGCACTACAAGCACATTTCAAGTTCTCTAGATTGCATTTAAGAAGGACAGCAACTGATAGTGAACTATCTTACGACAGTAGAAATACTAAGATAGGAGTACTTCTGTTTCTTTTTGTAGGAATGTTCTACTGTACCCTTTTGTCCGGGATGTCAGAATGAGGAAATCGTAGTTCGAAATCCCCATTCCCTATCCCAATGCGCCCGAGCAAGCTCATACCAGGGTGAAATACGTGCCGAGAATGACTGGCCAGTACGACCCCATTCAAGGTGAACTTGACCCTCCCCCCCCCCCCCCAAACTGGATTCCCACGATTCTAGGACTCACTTCCATCCCCAATTCCTTCGCCTATGCCTTCCAGTATACCCAAACAACAAGTTCTATGTCTGTCAAAGAGGAGGTGGAGTGGGTTGGGGGGGGGGGGAAGGGGTTGTATTCTCTGTTGCTGTCAGGATTTCCAAAGCTTATCATAATTCGTATTTTTCGAACTTCACACAATTTCATGAAAATTGTTCAAAAACCTTGAGCCCTAGTGACTTACGGGGTCATCACTATGCGGACTGTGCCTAGGAAAAGAGGATAAACCTCGGGGAAAACGAAAATTACTCATACACCCCTCCTAGTTCCCACTGAAGCTTAGTGCTAGAGAGGACTAGAAGGGGGAATGCTGGGTATAATAGGGCTCCCCGCATAACTATACCCTTTTCAGTCTGCCAGCGCCCTTATCCCCCAAGAAAACCCATTACAAATCCCTGCACCTAAACTAAATCCCAGCCCTTTCTTCACTGCCAGTTCTACCCTACACGGCTCGCCCTCACCACAAAAATCCACTGCGATCCCCTTATGGAGGAAGGTCCTGGGGTTTAGCTTATCCCGGCTCATACTACAAAGGCTCGCAGACAGCTGTGCACACATGAGGGCGTGGACATGTCCAGGCGTATTTTTTTCAGGCCTCTCCTAGGTTTGACCCATGAGCGAATTCTTGAAAGGAGGTATCAAAATTCATGAAGTGAAACAAGTTTTTTAGAAAATGAAGAAGCTTTAAATAACTTCCGAGTTCAAAAACACCTTGAGGGTGCAACACTGAGGCTGACAAGGACATAATCGACAGAATTGATAAGTAGAGTAGATTTGAAGAAATGTAGAACTCGGAAAAGAACGTACGAATCTGAGACTCAGCGAGGAGAAGTACCGTATTGGTGATGAGCACAGTGATTGAAATGAGAGTAGGATGCAGGTGGTTTGGCCGAGGATCTGCCACGTATCACTGATTGGCAACATTCCGCTATCAGCCAGACTCAATACACATCCATTCGATTGATATGACGACGGCAAAACGAGTAAGATCGAGTTTCATCAGGTGGTCGAAACCGACAAGAGGTGGGGCAGGATGGATGGATGGCCAAGCGCCACGTAT